GGAAATGACCCCTGCACACAGCACTTGTTTTCCACTGCTCAACAAGGTAATTACTAGCCCCAGGGAGGTGGTTGCACTCAGAAAACTGCTCTAGGGGAGAGAACGGTCAACCCCTTCCCCTTCGAACTGGGCCTCCCGCAACTGCGGTCCCCTTCCCCAGTGCTTGGGACAGCTAATCCCAGAACCTCTAGTACTTCCTCTGGCCGGGCCCTGAAAGAAACAAAGAGTGAAGCAGCACAATTGTCTCTGAGCACGTGCAGAGTTATCCTGACCCTTGAGAAGTGAAGGCTGAAGATAATGCAGCTCCTTCAACCGCATGCTGAGGATGAACCCCAAAAGGTGAGCTGGGAACATTGTTCCCTCTAAGCTGAGTCAGTGTGAGCTAGCTCACCGTTTTTTAGCACAATTTTTGCCTTAGCTCAGGAAGGAGGGCTCCAGAGCAAACTGATTTGTGCAGTAGCCGAATGGCGTGCTCACCACTTTAATGCCAGTAGCTCACAAAGTAGGATTTTTTGCTCACAAGACTCCACGGCTTAGAGGGAACATTGGCTGGGAAACCCTTTAACACAAAAGGAACAGTGTGATGGAGTAGCAGACACACCTTAACCATATAAATTTATATAAATATATCATACTGAGAACATCTCCAACAAAATATACCTCACCTCCAAAGGAGCACCACTTCAGTCACAAATAACCTACAATAGCAAGTGAATCAAAAACCAAAATGCAGTCCAAAATAAATATACAGAAACTCAGTCAGTGCTGAAATGGATAATGTAGCACAATGCGATATCTATAATGGCCAGTTTCCATTATATATATTTTGTTGGAGACAGGGGGCATTTCCTGCAGGAGGGCACAGGAGCAGAGCTCCGGCAGTAAAACACCCAGGGGGCGGGCACATGCAACAAGCCCCACCCCCTGCTCCCAGCAGCCCTCAGTCAGAGCAAGCAGCAGCCGGGTAAGTTGCAGAGCCCCCCCAGTCCAAAACAGTCCAGTGGCACCTTTAAGACCAAGTTTTATTCAGGTACCAGCTCTCCCTCCTCTGTGAGGGCAGATCTGCATGTCCCCCCCCAATAGCTAGCAATCCAAAACAGTCCAGTGGAGCCTGAGCGGTGGGTGTTGCCTTCTGACGCACTTCCGGTGATGTCAGGGGGTGTGGCATATGCAAATAAGTTATGCTAATGAGCTCCTGCACCTCTTTTTTCTACGATATGACCCCTGGTTGGAGATGTTTTCAGTATGATAGGATATCTATATAAATTTATATGGTCAAGGTGTGTCTGCTACTCCATCACACAGTTCCTTTTCTGCTGACAGTTTCATACTGTGTGTTTTCCCTTTTGTTTTTGGGAAACCCTTTGAAGCACTTAAACGGTGGCCGCGTTATTTCATTGCCGGAACCACTGGCAGAAAGTTTCAGTGTTGATTTGATTACATAACCACAGATGTGGCTGCCTTCGTCTCCGTAACTCTGTCCCTCTACCCCCACAGCAGGAAGCTGGACGCTACCGTTACAATGGCGGCTGACCCTTTGGGGGACCGTGCTTTGAGATCAGGAAGCCATTTTTCTCCAGGCCCGTTTGGCTGGAGATCCTGGAGGTTTTTTTATCATCTTCCGGGCATGGGACAGCAGTCACCGGGGGGGTGGGGGGGGAGGCATTTGTGAATTTCCTGCATTGTGCAGGGGGGTTGGACTAGATGACCCCGGAGTTCCCTTCCAACTCTGTGATTCTAAGTCCCTTCTCTGTCGCGAAGCTTGCTCGGAGACCTTGTGTCAGTCACCCTACCTCCCAACCTAACCTACCTCGCAGGATCGTTGTGAGGGTGAAACGGAGGAGGGAGACCCCATTTAGGTAGCCCTACTCTCCCCTGGAAGGCAGGACCAACCCCCCCCCCCCCCCCCCCACG